CCCCCCAAAAAAAAAAAAAGACAAAACCCCCTGAAAATACAGTAAAAACCCAAAACAAATACACACAAAAATAAACCCCAAAACAAACAAAAAAGGAAATAAAGGAGAAAAAAAAAAAGCACAGGAAAAGCCCAAGCTCATGCCGATAAAAGGGCAGGCTTTCCCACCAGGCTGTGCTCAGGTGGCTGCTTCCCCCCCACACCCAGAGCTGCTTCCTCCTCTGCTGGCTCCCTCCTCCTCTTCTGTCCTGGTTTGAGCCAGAAAAGAAAAATTGGCTTCATCCTGGCTCAAACCAGGACATCTACCTAATCACAGCAGGGGGGAAGCGGCATTGTTATCTGCCAAGGATAGGCTGTGAAGGTGACGACCGGAAGATGGCAGCAACAAATCATCCCTATCCTCTTGCTTCATTAATACCAGCTAAATTAGCTAGATTGATTCCCCCACTTTGTTGTTCCTGCTTTTTACACAGTGTTTGCTGTTTGTTTAGTGTTGTATGTTTGAAAGAATTCCTTAAAAGTTTACTTCCTGGCTAATTTTGAAATATTGTAGTTTCATTTATATTTGTGTTTATTAAAATTTAAAAACAGAAATAAGGGACAGTATGTGTTTATTCTTTTTCTAAGACATTTCCTTAAGACACTTTGAAAGTGTCTTAAGTAATTAGATGTTCCTGGAATTACATTTAGCACAATGTAGCTCTATCTGTAGGATTTTTCAATGCCTGTTACTTGAGCTTCATCCTCAGGTACATGACATCTGAGGCTATACTGGCTGAGTTATATTTTAATACTCACCTTTGTACTGTATTTGTTAATATATGAAACTAATTTGATGGGCTATCATGGGGTTTTTTTTCTGTTTCACAGCTGGGACATGGTTGGTTCTCTTTTAACACACTAGTGATTTCTGTTAAATAAAATGGTAAATGTGTCAAATAACAAGAATTACTCCACTCACATTAGAAACATTTTCTCCCTGCATTTGTTTCTTGAAAAGCTGTGTACATTGGTAGAAATTTTAGTTGGAGGATTGATGAGGTACTCCAGCATCAGTATTACTGATTGACACTAAGATGATTCCTCAGTTCCAAGCATGTCTGACATTATTGTGCTGCTGTTACTGCCAAAATTTCACAGGCCTGGTCAGCTAGGGAAAAAAGATGGTGCTAAAGCAGAGTTGCTTCCTAAAATGAAGTTATCTGCAGATGTTTTTCATCAGGGGATTCTTTACTTTCATATTTTACATTGTATGTATAAAATTTAAAATTGAAAGTTGTGATTCATCTTTTCAAAGAGGAAATTACTTTTGGTGGAGTGTAGTGGCATGAACCAGCCTAGATTAAATTGCCAGATTCTGTAGTAGTATGTCTAATTTTTGGGCTGTCACGGTTTGACTTGGGATCGGTGATTGAACCAGTGACAACAAGGCTCTCAATCCCCTCCCCCTCCCACCCAGGTAGGGAAGGAGAGAGAATAAAGAGAGAGAGACTTTCCCGATTGAAAACTACACTAGACAGCTTTAATAAAATACTAATGATAAAAGAAAACATGTACAATTATATACAAGAATGTGCAGGAATGTGCAAACCTCTATTGCCTCCCCCCACCCCCAGCAACTCCCATGGCATCTCCGGAGCTGTGAGCAGCTCCAAAATGTCCCAGAGCTGCTGGAGAGAGTGGCAGAGCAGACAGGAGCTCAGGGGAGAGTTATGAGGGTCAGGAATGCACGAGCCTGGGGATCAACAGTGATGGATGGACAGAGTCCTCCCCAGACACCAGCCATGGATGTAAGGAAAAAAAGGGCTTTACTTCTGTGATCCCTGAATTTATACCGAGTATATTATGCCAAGTATATTATGGGATGGAATACACTCTTTGGCCAGGTTTGCCATCTGTCTAGTCTGCTCCTCTCTATGGAAGGGTTGTAGATACGACTCTTCTGCTTCTTTAGTGTCCAAAGGAGCAAATCTGACAAGGGGAGCAAAGTGTCAGTGGTCTCTCAGCAGTAACTATAAACATTCGGGCATTATCAGTCCACTAGATGGAAAACTTGCTGCTAGTTTCAGCAAGTGTGCTGATTAAAAGAGAGTTCACTGAAGAAAAAAAGAATCAGTAAAAAGAAAATTGGCTTCATCCTGGCTCAAACCAAGACACACCCCTACAGACAATTTTGTCTTTAATATTGTAGTCTGTGTGTATATGTGTATGCAGATACCTACAATTTTTATTCTAATATCCTACTACCTACTCTCTGTGTGTATATATACATGTGTGTGTATGTACACATACATATGTATATTTAAAAATGCTATAGGAAAAAATATTTGTATTAATTCTTTGCAATTTCTTTCTAGCTCCCTTTCCAATCATCAGGGCAGCCTCTCCCCTGCCTCAGTGTTGTCTTCAAGCACATCACATGCAGTAAGTCCTATTTGCATTTCAACATATGTTCTGGCATATAGTCAGTTCATCTGATGGTTAAGACCGTCTCTTAAAGCTCATTGTGTCCCAGTACGCTAAGAACTGAAACAAGAGTCTTATATCTGGGAAAAAGGACTATCAGCCCTCTAGTGGTAAAAATGTCTTTACTACTTGTCAATTGTACTAGATCAAGAATAGCTATTACAGGGACTTGCCAGTCACATAATTGTAGAGGAAATTTTCATGACAGCAAGGGGGATGGAATAAAGAAAGAATTTCTTGTAACAAATTTATTAAAATTAACCAAACAGCAACTTTAGAAGTGGCTGTCTGAAACTGCTCAAAAATGTGGACTGTTAGCAATCTCCACTGGAGAGGTTATCTTGCAAAATGCAGGTGATGGAATGATACATGTCATGACAAATGCCTCATGACAGATGATTTTAGAGTTTACCATGTTGCTTTGTTGTCACTTCGGTATTTAATGTATTTAAGAAAACAAGACAAATGGTATTGAACACAGTGCTCTAGATGAGCTTGCACAAATGAAAGTCAGAGAGACACTTCCTTGTTCTGTGATGAAGTACTGTAAAATCCCAGTTGGGGTGAGCAGATAGGTTACTGCTTTTTTTTATGCCTGTATTTTGGTTTGTAATGCTCCATCCCTACTGAATATGTAACTTTAAAATTCACACTTATCCAAATGTCCCTTTCTGTTGTCAGAGTTGTTTTGGCTTCTCTGTGTTGATGACACTTTTTTGCAAGTGTGATCAGCTTACAGCTAAGACACTGTATTGTGCTGGATTCAAACCAGGAACTCCTGTAATGCATCTTGTCTGCGTTTCAGTTTACCACATTGACTGTTGTGGGGCACTACAGTTTTAATCTTTTAAATTCCACAAATGCATTGAGGAAATCAAGATAGCAGCATGCTGTATTTTGAAAGTAAATAGAATAATAGAATCGTAGAATGGTAGGAACTAGAAGGGACCTCTGAAGGTCATCAAGTCCAACCCCTCCGCTGCAGCAGGAACACCCAGGGCAGGTCACACAGAAACGCATCCAGATGGGTCTTGAAAGTCTCCAGAGAAGGTGCCTCCACATCCTCTCTGGGCAGCCTGTCCCAGGGCTCCATCACCCTTATAGTAACAAAGTTTTTTCTCATGTTGAGGTGGAACTTCCTGTGTTCCAGTTAACGGGTTTTTTTTAAGAATATAGAAATTTATTTAACATAATGAATACTGGCTTAAAGGAGTATACAAGCAAAGGGCAAGAAATAATGACATTTGAGTTACTGTGGTATAATTTTATGATGATATAGTGGGTTGAATTTAAGTCTCATGTCATAATTTTCTTTGAATACTTAAAAATCACAAGTATGCATTGTAGTTGCTTGCTTGATACATAGATAATGCATATATTTTTATTTTGCATGAACTGCTGTTACTTAAAAGATTGTTGGTTTTTGTTTTGTGGGTTGTTTTTTTCCCCAGCATCTTCCACTGTGGTTTATTTGCTCTATGATCCTCATTCTTTTTGTCTCCTTTCCAGCACACTAGTGTTGAGAACACAACTTCACTCCAGCCCTCAACAACCTTTTCAACCGTTTCAACCTCAGCCACTAACACCACCTCTTCTGTTGTCAGCATGACAAGCAGTATGAACACTACAAACAGCCTTGGCCTGAGCGTTACCAGTGTGTCTATACCAGCTGCTACCACACGGGCAGCTCCTTTAGTGTCTTCAGGTTTGCAATAATAACAGATCACATGAATAGACAAAGGACTTCAGTCAGCAGGGCTGTCAGTTGAGCATCTCACCAGCCATAGCTGTCCTAAGAAATTCACACTAGCATCTTGAGCATGCTTTATTTGCTGGCTTATAAAATGAAATTGCTTGGTTTTGTGTATTTGAAATATTTCTTAAGGTATTATGTGACATTTATATTGCATATTCCATCCCCAAAGACTTTTATAAATAGACACCAGAGCAGTTCTGTCTTTGTAAGTTTTGGGCTAGGAGATTTGCCCAGTTTGTATTCCAGATTTTGGTCAGCTCTTGGCTGTGAGTTCACATTAGCTTTAATTTCAGTCTTCTCTGTGACTTTAATTCATTTGGTAGTACCAAAATATACTGCAGCATCCTCATTATCATATGCCACATCCCTACTGCCACATCTACAGAAAGGGAAAAAAGTATTTGATGTCTGGGTCATTCCACAGCAAATAGCACTTCAGAAAAAGGGTCCACAGAGAGAGAAGGTGGGGGAAGCTTCTTGTACTGAAGTGGAAGCGATGCTAAATTCTCTCTTGCTTCTCTAATCAACCTGAACTGCTAAAAGGAAATCCTATGGAGGGAAGTGAATGATTTAAATATTAAGATCAAATTTAGTTACAGAAATTTTTCTCATTCCAATACCTTGTAAATTAAGTGTCTGATGACTGGCCAAAATGCATTTTTTTACTCTTCTGCTTCCTAGCACTGCTTCATGGAGGCAACTGAAACTGTTTCAATCTTTTTCTCTTTGCTATTCCCAGCTGCAATAAGTCACCCACAAAAAGTACGCTGGCAACATTTAGTGCTTTCCAGTCTATTGCTGGTGATAAGGGGGAATGTGTTGACAGAGCATAAAATTATATAATTTGCTCTCTTAGATTGAAAACAATGCCTAAATTTTGCCTTCAGGAGACAACTGAGAAAAGGAGAAGTTCCTGTGATTCTTCTAATCCTCTTGGACAAAGTAAATTACAAAATCATACTGTTATCTGATGGGATTGGTTTCAGTGTCAAGTAGCCTTTACTTTCCCTTCCTTGAGGCATGGTTAAACTCTTTAGGCTATTTTGAGCCTTTTCATCAACCAGCACAAAATTCTTCTGTGTAGTTCTGTTCTTTACAAGCTATGACAGTGCAGCCACCAGGGCTTGTGAGCTATCTTGTCTCAAAGCTGAAGCCTTTTCTTTTCTAAAGGCTTGTTAAAGTGTCTGTATTTTGATTCTACAGGGAAGGCTCCCCCAAACCTGCCCCAAGGTGTACCTCCCCTGTTGCATAACCAGTATATTGTGGGACCTGGAGGACTTCTGCCTGCCTACCCAGTAAGCAATTTAATTGTTCCTGTCCTTGCTTGCTTAACCCTTGGTGCAAGTGGGCCCTCCAGACCTGCTGCTGTCTATGCCAAGGCATTTCTATTGGAATGTCGCACCTAGAATTCTTGTTACAAATGCTGAAGAATATGTAGAATGTATTCAGTGAGGGTTTACTGTTGATAGAAAACTGCAGAACTGTTGGTACAGGCCTGATTTGGCTGCTGCATAGCTAACTAAACATGTGTATTGCTATGGTTTTCAGTGGTATCAGGTTTTAGGCCCTTTGAGTAAAATTAGACTCGTTCAGGTTTGTGTTACTGGTTGTAATGTGCCAGTGTCCTGTCAGTTATACTTTGAAAGACTGCACATAGTTTTTTGATGTCTGACCAGAGTCAACATATTTTTGGTTATCTTTTTTTTTTGAATCAGAAACTTTATTCTAATAATTTTTCTGTATCACACTGAATGTGAGGGCATACCATAGGTTGCTTTGTGGTCTAGTCATTAAATCTTAGATCCTGCTAGTCTCAGAAGCAATGACTGAAGCAAAGAAGGCTTTTGCTCCTGCTCCAAAATCTGAATCCCTGTAGATTTTTCACAAGTTGATGAATGATGCATCTGTAAAAACAGTATTGAAGATGAGACAGTCATACTCTCCACAGAGGACTGCTATCACCAAGAAACATGAGTGACAATCCATTTTAAGCTTAGTTCTACTAGCTTTAAAATGCTACAGTGCACCATGATAGCACAATGAGATGTATAGCTTGTACCAGGAAGGGACAACTCTCTATCAGCAGCTCTCCACAGGACAATTCACTGCCAATGCCAACTTGCCGCTTGTCAGATTGGCAGATGAGGAGCAGCACAGCCCTGTGGCATCTGCCGATCTGCAGAGTTGTCCCCGTGGAGGGCTGTCCTGGCATAGAGGTGTTCCAGTGTAGAGTTGTCCTGGCAGCAAGCTGTCCAGTGGAGAGTTGTCCTGGTGGTGAGTTGTCCATGGTGAAATGTACTGCGGAGAGTTGGCAACAGAGTTGTCCTAGAACCTAGCTGTACACCTTTAAAATAGACTGGCTGAGGTCAAACTCTATTTAAACCTCCAGATTGTTCAGTGTCAGAGAAAAGTGTTGTTATGATTTTTTATTTTTATCTGTCTTTAAGCAGATATATGGTTATGATGATCTCCAGATGCTTCAATCCAGGCTGCCAATGGTAAGTTTGTTTTTTTTGGCTTGGTTTATTTAATTTTAAACAAGTTATATTCAGTGTTGATAATTTGTGCAACACAAATTGGTTCATTTGATGGTGATTAAGAGCTTATCCTTATGTTCTGTATTCTGTTTATTTTTAATATTCACAGTTTCTCTAGGTGGTGTAAATTGATATAGAGCAACTGTTGCATCATGCATTCATCCATCTGCAAATTCTGTAAATAGAAGCAAGCGTGCTCTGTGTTTTTTAGTGGAGAAATTTTTAATTGTTGTAGCAACAGTATGACATCTTGTCAAGTCTAGTTGAAATCTGAGTGTGAATGTTGTATGCTATGTGGAGGAAACATACAGAGGGAAAATCAGGTTAGAATCAATTTGGAATAATTTACACAGGGACTGGAGATGCAAAAAGGAAAACCTGTTGAGACATGAGGTTCAGAGTGGAATCCCTTGCTTTCTAAACTCCTTCTCAGAAAGAAGTCTGGGTGCTGCTGGATCCAAACTTAGTCCCAGACTTTGTCAACAGTTTATGGCTAAGGTATTATGTGTTTTTATAGCTAAAGGATTATATGTGCACACCTAATTCTCTATATCACTTAGCTAAGATTTCAAAGTTTCACCATGATTATTCCCACTTCACTTACCTTCCATTTGGGCATCCGGTGTTAGTTCCCTCCAAAGTTTGAACCTTTGGTTTCCTGAAGCAGACTCTCAGGCATTGGAAGCTGCTGTTGATGGTTGTGGCTTCTGTATCTTCTGATGTTGGCTCTGGAGGCCCCGTTTTGAATAAGTAGGTACATGTTCAATAAATCTAAATGGAAATTTACAGCTTGCGGCCTAAGGCTTCAGCAAATCTAGCTACTCATGCTAAGTAAGTAAAGCTAAGCAAACAGCATACTGAATCACAATATTATAACTCTTAAGTGATTAATTCTATTTAAAACTTACTTATTTCAGCTAAGCATAGTTATTTCTTTTAATGTTGAGAGGCATCTCTGCTAAAGGGGGGAGAGTTGTGTGGCATGCAGTCCAGTTGCTGTTTAGGGAGAATTCAAATTAGGCTCATCCAGCCATCTGTTGTTGGTAAAAGATCTCGTTGCTTTGAGGAGCACCCTTGAGAGGCATCCCAGCTCAAGGGGGAGTTCATTGCCATGCAGCCACGCTGCCTAACAGGAAGAGTTCAAAAGTGGCTCGCTTAGGCTGTCATATTTATGGGATAAAGTGGTTGGCTCATAGTCAAATTTCATATAATGGGAGAGGTATGCACAAGACTCCTTGTACCCACAACTTACTGGTGTTCATTGTGTTGCTCTGCTCCTTTGTGGGTTTCCTAGACGAGTTCTTATCCCGGCTATGGCTCAGGCCTTTACCTCCTTTGGAGTCTGTACCAAATTGCTGCTGGTTTGGTTAAGGTGGGGGTGAGTGCATCCATAACAGAGACTCAGCCTAGATTATGGAAAGGTAAGTAATTTTGTTTTCAGAAAACTAGGTGTCAAGGTTTGACTAAGGATCGGCAAATAAAGCAGCGACAATAATGCTCTCGATCCCCTCCCACCCAGGTAGGGAAGGAGAGAGATAATGAAGGAGATTTTCTGGCTTGAAAACAAAGCTAGACAGCTTTAATTACACACTAATGACAAAAGAACATATGTACAATTATATACAAGAATGTGCAGGAATGTGCAAACCCCTATTGCCTTCCCCCACCCCCAGCAACTCCCACGGCATCTCCGGAGCTGTGAGCAGCTCCAAAATGTCCCAGAGCTGCTGGAGAGAGTGGCAGAGCAGACAGGAGCTGAGGGGAGAGTTATGAGGGTCAGGAATGCACGAGCCTGGGGATCAACAGTGATGGATGGACGGAGTCCTCCCTGGACGTCAGCCATGGATGGAAGAGAAGGGAAGAAGCAGCAGGGAGGAAGTTGACTTCTGTGATCCCTGACCTTACACCGAGCTCTTGTGGATATATGGAATCAAATACTTTGGTCACTGTTGCTGTCCATCTAGTCCACTCCTCCCTATGGGGGGACTGTAGATATGACTCTTCTCCGTAGCATCTGAGGCAGCAGAGCAAATAAATTACCTTGGCATCTCAGCAGTAACATAAACATTCCAGTGTTATCAGTCCACTAGCTGGAACACTTGCTGCTAGTTAAAAGAGAGCTCACTGAAGGAAAAAAAAATCAGTAAAAGGAAAATTGACTTCATCCTGGGTCAAACCAGGATACTAGGATATTCAACTTGGAGAGAACGTCTGGTAGTATGTAACTGAGAAAAGTCACAGGATTAAGTTATGCAGTGTATCCATAGAGGCAGAAATGGAGCAATGAGCAGTGATCTGGAAAATATGTATCACTGAATTAATGACATAGTTAAAGGTCCAAGTCAGTATCAGGTTTTCCATGTGGAGTCTGGGGATAGCCAGAGTCAGATAGTCAAAGGTGAGTACAGGGATGTCCCAGAACAAAACCCTGTTCAGCTGCGCATCCTAAATTAAATAAAATTTAGCGCGTTAATGTTGCCGGGAGGCGAGAGACAGACACACGATACTCATAGAGTTAAGGTGAATGCTCCGATTTTATTAACAATCACAGCTCCTTATATAGTCAGCTTTATCAGGTGCACGCAGATAAACAATATTTATGATTGGTTACATGCTGAGTTGCACGCGGCATATAAAATCACTGATTGGTGATGAGCCTGTGTCCACGCGCGGTGTCGTAAGCTTAGCTTTGTTATTGAAGCGGTGCAGGTGTTACTGAAGCGGCGCCAGGGAGTTATATAAGCGGTGCCAAGGAGTTTATATTTCTCTGATATTGTACCCGATCTGTCTCTGGTTGACATTGAACATTAGCCAACTATCTCTTAGCTGTTTTCTTTAATGCCTTTAAATAGACACTAGCCAATTATCTCTGGGTTGTTTGCCTTAATGTTTTCAGTTAGCTCGAAGCCCAGGTTATAGGCTTCTAGTAATTTTCCATATCCACTGTCCCTTAAACCCCTCTACAATTCCCCCTTTTTCTTTTAAACAATCCAGACTCAAGTTAAGGCCTTATTAACCATAAAGAATACATGATACAATTATGGATGCTACAACAATAACCATTCTTTCTTACACTAATTCCCATCAGTCACTCAGTTATCTTCAGTGATCACAGCCAGTCCCAGGTCAGATGTAGTGGAGAGTTGATGAC